CTTTTTTTTGTACCTTCGCCAGCGATTGCTCGATGAGAAATACAGAAATCAGTGATAATTGGACTACTTACAGAAATTTATTTCAATTTATGAGCGAGCATATATACTCTGTCGCAGCGCTTTTCAATCTCTTAACGATGCAACAGGATTTAAAAACGAAATTTTACCTTGGAGCTATAAAATCAAACAAAATTTTTTTTTGTACAGGTACCAACATATATATTTTTATATAAACTTATTATTTAAATTATATGGGAAACGATTCTTCTGTTTGTCCTATTTACGTCACCCAGTATAAAAAATGGAAAACTTGAAATATCGTGTTATTTACGAGTATGAGTTCCACCGTGGTACCAGTGCTGCGGAAACGGCTCGAAGGCTTAATGATGTGTATGGCGGTTTATGTCGCAAAAGAAAACACAGTGCATTTTTGGTTCCAACGTTTTCGTTCTGTAAATTTCGACCTGCAGAACAAGCCCCGTGAACGGCAGGAGACCCAAGTTAATAATGAAGAATTGAAAGCTGTTGTGGAATCGGATCCATCGCAAACCACGCCCGAGTTAGCTGCAGGCTGCGGTGTTAGTGATAAAACTGTTTTAATTCACTTGCAACAAATTGGAAGGATTAAAAAGCTTGAAAGGTGGGTTCTTTAGCGGTCGAATTTCGTAAAATCCCGTCCTATTGAGCACCTACGTTCTAAATAGAACCAGTAAGCAAAATTTTAACCTCCTAAACTTGAAGTAACGAAGTTTATACAAGCTTTCATCCTCTAAAATAGCTCCTTCGGGGTGGAGTTTTCAAAAATTCTCTCAGTACACCTCTGCATTCCTTAAGGAATCACCATTCTAAATTTCTACTCTCTACTCTCAGTTGTTTCAGTTGTACGTTGTCTGTTAGTCAGTCAGTTAGTTACTCAGTAACGCACATATATAGTTATAGGTATAGATTGTAAATGCAAAATTGATAAAATTTTATATTCAAGTCGAGATCATGTTTCTGGGAATGTCCATGATTTTAGGTTAAATAAGATATGGATTCCCTAATTTTCAGCACAAACGCCTTAATGTGTGCCACAGACTGTCTTAGTCCAGTCAGCTTATCTTCGAGAAGAAACGCAGATGTCGCTAAATGTTGATTGACTTCCACGTACCTATGCGGTTCAGAGATTAAGCTAATTCAAAAGTTTTGGTCATAGGATGGGTGACCAAAAATATATCTTGAGCTTCTCCGTGCTTCAAAAGGCAGATTAGCGGTTTTATCCTGACTCAATCTTTATTCGTAAACCCTCACCTTTTTTTTTTGTAAAACTAAATTTTGACCCTAAAACTTGACGAAAAATGTTATAGTTTCTATGACTTTATTATAAATACTCTAATTTCTGTGCCGCTGTATCATAACACGCGGTTATTATGAAAGCCGGAATATGTGATTGCGCATTTTAATAATAAATTCCTTATAACTTTATAACATAGGGACTGGTAATCGGATCGCAGAGAAAGTGAGCAGTTAATTTTTATTGCGGACGTGAAAAAAAAACGAAAGGAAAATGAGAGTATGGAATTCTGCCCGTTGCGTGTTTAGGGAACAGAGTTTAAGTTTTGTTTTGACGGTACCTACAGCTGTGGTGCTGAATGCATGACACCTGTCGTCATCTGGTTGTTAAAGATTTGTGCTGGAATTAATAGATAAAAACTCACAAGGTGTCCGGTCCGATTTTTTGTTTACATAAAAAAAAAATACATCCGTATTAGGAATGTGGACATTTTTTTGTCTATCCAAAATTTAAATTTGTTGATATTTAAATTGTTAAAAATATTTTTTTGTTTACTTTAATTAGCGTTACTGTTTTGTTAAAAACTCGTCAAGCGCGAGTCGGGGTCACGCACAAATACCTATAAAAAGCGCAGTGGTAGCCTCCCCTTTAATATTTTTTTCTGTTTTTAGTCTTCGATTAACTAGTAGTGTTTCTTGTTATAGCGTCAACTGAAATACTTCATATGTGAGAATTTCAATTGTTTAGCTGTTACAGTTTATGAGATAGTGGAAGCGTTTAGGAATGGACAGCAATAGGGTCCTTTTTTTACCTCATGGATACGGATCCCTAAAAATATAACCGACTCTACAAAGCTCGGAAAATTTTACTTATCTGGAAAGGTGGTTAAGTATTTCAAGAAATAGTTTAAGTTTACTACATCCATACACATACCTGCCACCTATGATTATTATTGGTTAGCACCTATCCTATTACTTAAAAAACAATACAAGCGAGATCATTTGTATTGTAGTTAAAGTAATCGACTATTTAAAAAAAAAACAAACCGTGTAATATAATAAACAAGAACTTTGTACATTACACCTATGATTGTCTGTTATCATTCGATCCAGTATAGGCTACTACTAAACCACTAAGCAGTTTCGATGCGGACCAGTTTCGAAACATGCATTAAATCGTTTTTCTATTACCAGTATGCAGATGGAATGCATTTCGAGACCATTGTCATTCAGTGCCGGCGTCAGTTGCATAAACATTATACTATTGTAGAGTTATGCAACAGATTGGGAGAGGACAGAAATGGTAACGACGATAACGAAGGGATATAAATATAGAGCCTGCATTGTGGTATGAGACGATGCCGTGGTCAATGTTACGTTACACCGACTGAGCAATGTGAATTTATAAGTTATTATAATAAGGTTGCATATAAAAGAATACCATAAAAATCTGACTACCACTAGAACGAGTAAATGCATATAAAAATGACTAAACGTGCATTAAATCATTCATTTTAGTGGTGTTAGTAAAATCTAATGTTAGTAGTGTATTTTTATTAGTGTTCTTAATACTATTTCCCTAATTTTAATAACATTTCTAGCATATTCTTAACGTATATTTTGGCATATGTGTATGGTTTATAATTGCGAAGATTAAAAACGAAGATTACCAATGTCTTTCACTAGATGGGTGAGGTACTCATCTTGGAATCTGAGCAATGTATGAGATACAACGTATAAGTAGAGTATAGACTATATTCTGTATTCTAAACAGATATTTTTTTTTGTATGATTGCTAGAAATAATGACAGATTTGCTTCATATATTATGATTCCTGGCTTTACAGATATAGGCGTGCGTCTGCCAGGTTAGGAACTCGTGGTGTGACTTTCACAGTTGGATCGTAATTTTTTGGGACATCATTCGCAGTGAATGACAGCCAACTTCGATATTATTATTACAAATAGGTTCAACCAAGCACCAATTAAAAACTCTAATAACCATAATGAAAACAATGTATTGTTCTACGTTATAAATTGTAATGCCCAAAGATTATCTTCTGATCATACTTGTGTAATAATTATAAACTAAACACCCTTAAATATTGAAGCCGTGGGGCTAAATATTTAAAAGCACAGAATATTTTTTCTTCTACCAACTGTTACGCCTCTGGACGGTATATTAAATAGCACTCGTTATCGGCCGTCAAGTAGGCTGTAGTTTGAATAATTGCATCCAAGAACTCGTGCGACCAGGCCAACGGGTTTTGATGAAGTTAACCGTGTCTATATTGTTATGTCAGGACTAAATTGGGACATACTGTTATTTTAGGAAATTATGATTGACATGACGTGTACATTATTCACAGAATTATACTGTAGTTTTGCAACTTATAACGAAATTTTATTAATAGATATTGTATGTATCTAAATCTTATACAAGTCACTTCATAGTGTCATTTAGCGCCATTTGTTGATTAACCGTGAACCTACTATGAATAGACATAAAAGTTAGTATGAAAGACATCATCGGTATAGTAGTTTGTTTTATTTATAATAGATTGCGTTTGAATGAATGTATGATTTATTTTTTAATTTAGAGCATATCATAAACTGAATAAGGTCTTTTAGTATTTTTCATAATGAATTAGGATTATAAAGAATGAATTATGAAAATTTATTAGAATTATAAAAAAGCTGAAAGTTGCCTATGTACAAAAGCAGGAATTAGGGACTAGTACATTTTTGTTAAGAATCGGTATACTATGATGTACTAATAACCTAGGATTTTTATTTGGTACGGGTATGAGTGTTTATAATATTTATTATGTGTTGATGTAGAAATAATATTTATTATTTTTAATTATTTGTATGTTAAATTGGAATCGTATTGTAATCTCACTCCACATTTCATTTTTATAGCTACGCTAGCAACCAAACGACGAGCAGGGTACAGCTGAAAATCTTCTACACAATAATATAATGAGTTTACTTCTATCTTAATTATTGACAGAATTGGAAGCTTTGTTTGACAATATACAGGAAACAAATGAACGATGGAAAAGAAGATGCTTGTTATAAATATATTACATGATTTGAATAAAAATATACTAATGTAAATACTGTAGCATATAAAGTAAACTTATCATTGCACAAGTATTTTTAAGGGTATACAAATTTTAATTATGTATGTAATTGATTTTTTTAAATTATAACAAAATATATTAGAATAATAGAGCATTAAGAACACAAGAAAGTTCAATTCTCCCAGAAATAAACATCGCTTCCAATAACACAATGATGACACAGGCCCAATGGTCTTACAGTCGGCCCCGAACTGCATCATCAGAATGTAATCATCTATTTGTAAAGGTCTCAGTTCCTTTCACATCGTCGGCAGGATTCTCCATACTTCATTTAGTCGGTAGCGAGTTCAAATGATGACTCGGAAACTATATCAACATGCCACGTCATTGTTGTTGATAACTGTTTGTATTATGTCAGCCCTACGATGGGATACCAGAAGTGGTATGCGCTACGTGAAAAGACTAATCAAACTTTGTATTAGAAAGTTGTGGGTCGGTGACCTTATAATTGTTGTGTGGATAGCTTGTCAAAATCCTGGAGATTTATTAAAGGTTGTCTAAGTTGATCGCTTTTGAGTTACACTTCATTCGTCCATTGTGACAGCAAATTTACTTATTGATACGTTATTTTGAATTGTTACAGCGGTCGTGGTGCGGTACCTCACGAAAAGATATATCGGTGAATACAGCTCTACTGGCGGTAAGATTTTGTCACAGATTTTATATAATTATGGTTGTCGACTTAATTTGTATCTATAGTAGTTAGTGAATTGGTTAAATTTTATTTAAATCCTACAACCTTATCTATCTGAGAGTTACATAAAGCCAAATCAGATGTTTTAGAGGAGTGCATAAGAAATAACAACCTGTAAGCAAAATTATACACTACTTATGTATGAATACTTAAAGGATATGTAAGGTAAGACTATTAATTTATAATTAAACATTTTTATCAAAAGAAATAGCGATCCCGGTTAAATATTGCATTAAATTAACAAGTATACCTATTCTAAAATCATCTTTTTAGAAAAGACCATAATTCAACCATTCATTCATTAAGACCATTCAACGTAATAATTGTAACTTAAAACAATATTTAAGAAAAAGTAGGCTTTTAATTACTAATTATTTTTTAATTATTTTATCCAAATTTAACAAAAGTGATGGCTAAACATACTTCACGCAGGCGTAAGCGTCAAAAATGGCTAGACTTATTTTAGCGATACTGACCCTATCGGCAAGCCCTCGTTAAGCTCTTGATATAGTTAAATAGCACTAAGCGCTAATTTCACCAGTTAGAATAATAGAACGAAATCAGAAAAAGATTAGGCTTCTAGGGTTAAGTTAAAAATAACTATTTTTATTTGAATCCCATGAACAGCCCATTCATGTCCTCTCTACTTCAAAGGCCTATGAATGGAATCGAATAGGGAGAATAAGCTAGCAACCATTCGGATTCAGTGCGGATTGGTGGGTGTTAACGATTGTATACGCAACCGGAATTACCAACGTCTTAATGTGCATTCTGAAGTACTACAGAAGAGCTCGAGATAATGCATTTTAGGTCACCCATCTTATAACCTTTTTTTCCGAAAGTTGTTTAATTTCCATGTCGCTAAATGTTTTAACCAATGTGCCATCGAGATCCTTAAAACAGATTATTCGTACGAATTTGAATCAATCAATACTTCAATTTTAATAATAGAACAGATTATATTTATATATTTGATCAATTTCGGAGTACCAGGGATAAAGTGAATGTTTTACAGATTAATTAATTAAATGATCAATCTAACGTTGTAAGAGAATACCATAATTTGTAAAAGCTCTTTATTCAAAAGCATTTCTAAAGAGTTCTATAATAACTTCATTTGACTAAAAAAAAAAATTGCCTATCATCGTTACTACGTGTTTGCATTCTAGTGTCGATGTATTATATAATATCTATAGTAAAACTCGAATAATATTTTTTGTAAATATTATAAAATAAGTAAGATTATTGCATTTTCTTACTGTGCGCTTTTGTAAAAATATTACGCTTACAAAATGTGATTTTGACATACAATGTTGCCGCAAAGTAAAACGTGAAACTTTTGAATGGTTCATTCTTCTGCATTCATAAAATATGTTTAACGTCGCTGTTAGCAGGATCTTGATTCTGTAATATCTTTGTTGTTACGTAAATGAAAAGACATAAAATTGGATAATGGTATTGAACGCAGACGTAGTAGTTTGAGGCTGGCGTCTCTATGTGAACTCGCATATCAATAAAATATTAACAGTACCATGTTAATTACAACTTGGACCTTTCAAGATAATAGTAAAAATATTTTTCTACTATTTCTCTAAAGTCACTGATATCTGAGAGTGTATTTTTTCGGTTAATAAAATTGCTTTTTCTTCTCTTTCATGTCTCAAATTATAATCATATTAAGTAATTGTAATTAAAACAGAGAAAGAAGCGACTTTTATAAAGCTAATATACATTTTCATTTATAATCTTCCATATTATAAGGTGAAAATATGGAGATGGAGGTGTTGGAATATTATTTTTATGCCTATTTAATATAGAAATATTTTTTGTTTAATTAAAACATGTCAATTCAAACAAAGTTAATGAAGTCGCAATATTCTTCCACTTTTATTATGAAGAGTGCCTACTTTAGACCTAAGTAGGTCCTTACCTAAGTGTTTCCGTAATTCTAATCTCCAATCTTAAGCTATCAGTCCCTTTTCTCAATGTGCTCGCTATCTGTCTGTCTGTCTGATCGCGCCTAGAGTCCTAATGGTGTGTAATTGTTGCAGATTTCCTATATCAGCACAGAGTTGCGTTCGACGGTGCAGTTTCTGAGGTGGAAATACTAGATACATCTAATTGCGCTGTAAGTAGCTCTCGGTTACTTATGAGTTTGATACCATTGAAGATTACCAGGTTATTTTCTTCCGCGTACTTGGTGTGCTTATGGTATAATAATTACGTAGAAATATACTTTTAAAGAACATCGTGAAACTAGAAGTTCATAGTTTTGGTGTACCCAATTCCGTATGCGTCCATGCCAAAATCTGTGATTTGTTTTCTCTCAGTGAATTATAGTTGATCTTTTGCATATTTGCGTCGCTGTAATACACACAATAGAAATTTACATATTTGTCATTGGTGCTTATGTTGTTTTGTTATTTTTGTTTTTATATTAGCAGTAATTTGCTTTAAATGCATGTATGTTTCTGATGCAAATAAATTACTTTATCTATCGCCCATCCTATTTAATACTTTGTTTATTTATAATTGTAGTATTCTACGTATTAGTAATTATAATTATCAATGCTATAAATCATCTTCGAAATTGATTTATAAAAACCATCTTATCTCCTCTTCCGTAGGATGTCAACAAGGTGACCCTGTTGGCAATTTGTGGTTTAGCTATTCGTCTAATTATTCCAAATCTAAATTTTAAATTCAATGTATGGTATCTCTAAACGTTCAGAGGAGAAGCCGAATCTGTTTTATCAGAACTAAAATATCTAATCGAAAACTTTGAAAATTGTGGAATAGAATTAAATTTTAGTTAAAAATTATTTGTTAACTTTAGATATAGCATGCATAAGTAGTTTTAATATAAAGTATTAGATTATTAAAATAATCACCAGTGCGACAGAAAAAAAATAATTATGGTTGACGTTAAAATCAGAATTGTTTTCTCATGTGATCGTCTATGAATACATTTATAATTCTAAATTTATTTTTAAAACCAAAGAGTATCCGTGTATCGGAAAGTAAACTTGATAATTTTAATCTGACAGCTCAGTAACTTCACTTGCAGTGGCAAATGAAGCCGTGGACTGGCCGAACTTAATTTAGCGGCGAACAATGGAGATGTTATCTGTGGCTCGCGGTCGTAGGCGGTTGATGGCCCGTACAATTTAATTAGACGAAGTTTATGGGCCTTGTACACCGTTATCGGAGGCAATCGCACAACCGCGCGGTGCCGCCTCCAGCCGTCCACTGAAACCTACGCGAATCTAACATTAGAATTTAACATATTCGATTATGCATTACACGGACATTATTCAAGGAATCTACAAAGATCGTCTACTTGTTATTGGATAGGAATTTACTTGAAATTGGAGATTATTTTTGAATAGTATGCTTGTTGCGGCATTTCATATTATTTCTTATGATGATAGGCAGCGTATTGTTAAAGAGAGGGGATTGTTTTTGTTTTGGAATATAAAATAAGATACTATATGATAGAAAGTTTGCTTACATAAGTAACGGTCGTTGAATAATAATGGGAGTATTTAGTTATCTGTTAGTGATGGGCAGGAAATCGGGATGTAAATCTTGACTCGCGCTATTTGAATCTAGACAAAGCGAATGGTACACTGTTTAATTGTCTACTTGTATAACAGTTTAACCTTTGCCTTATTCTTGTTGTTTTCTTCCGTCGAACTTGTGAACTATGATTTGTCTTATGTAAAAGTTATTGTTAAAACATTGTTCGGTAAGTTGTAATTCGTGAGTGTTCGATTAAACAGATTCGATGTTGACGTCGATGACGGCTTATTAATCGAACCGATAACGGAACTAGAAACAAAACGAATCGATTCAGATTGCGTAATCGAATAATTTATTCGATGCGTTGGCCGCATTCTGACCAGCGCATTACTTGTTTTGGTTTCTTTAGTTTATTGTCGAACTTCACTGAGTTTTATGGCACCGGATATTTTATATGGCTCTAGAATATTTTCGTAATTTTAAAAGTTTAATTGAAGTTACATTCGAGAAAATTACTAGGGACATTACGTATCATAAAGTTTATTGTACAATTACTTAATGTTATGATATTTTTATATACATTTCGAAATGACAGGTGGTTATTGACGATTGTATTTTATTCATTGGATAAAAATCTTTATGATAGGTACATCATTAATAACCCATTAATATATCCACTGTTGTTGATTTCCACACAAATTGTATTAAATATAAGGGAGAACGAGCGATAACCCATTATACGGATCTGGTGCAAAATGATGGATGTTAACAACTGTATATGAATATATTATAAATTTTTAGACATAATTGTCTAAAAATTTGAAAGTTATTCATGAATTTGATAGGTGAAAGCGATATTGAATGAACGATATTGGTAATTTAAAGTTAATTGGAATTGTCTAAGCAAATCGAAACAATGTGAGAAATGTCAAGTTAAAGAATGAATGCTAACTGCACTCTTTCGACGGGTTTGATTAAGTTTCTATTATGTTTCTTAATCATTAGAATCGTCATTCGTTCTAAATGCGATTGCGACTTTAAAATTAAATAAATATTAATGAATAAGGAAATAAAAATAATTGTAATCACCCATCTAACAGCCGACCTTTGCAATGGTTTAGCCTGCAAAGTATCTTTGTAGACCACTGTACTATGAAGTGCCGCTTTATATGTGGAACTACTTACATACATTTTGTTTGGTTAAACAGAACAGGACCCGCAGCTAGAAAATTATCAATAATAAATCGATAAGTATGTGACATGATGTCAGATTATTGTGATTTCTTAAATAAATAAAAGATATGCCCACTTTCAGACATTCGTTGACCTGACACATTTTTACAGGTCATGTCTACTTACCATTAGTGATAATTTTTCTTCGTTTTTTGCTTAAAATAGAATAATGACTAAGCATCATTTTATCTAGAGGTCAGGGAAATGTGTAATTTGTATATAATAATCTTTTGAGGTTATAGTAGTTGTCAAAACTCGCGATAATTGTTATGTGTTTAAAAAATAATCAAAGTTTTTATAGTTTTCCAACCAATTTTTTTCGTAGTAAATGGAATCAAACGTAGTAAGCCGCCATTGCAAAGTCCGAATCGTATTGTTGTAGTTTTCATGGACTTTTTATAAATAATTAACAGCTTCCATTTTTTTCCTTGTCTTATTTTAAAAGTTTATTTATTTTAAAAACTTTTCGAAATATATCACACCACTAAAACCGTTTGTTGATTTTGAGGTAGAAAACATAAATCTGTGCAATTTCTGCTGGATACAATTAAATTGGAGCCCGATGATTACTAATAACATAACAAATAACTAATAATGTAGGTAAAGTGTGCGCGATGGGTTAGCGTCCGCATTGCTAGTAATTTCACTTGTCCATGCTACCTCACTGGACAAAGCCGGGAAGCCCGAAAATTATGTTGTTTTCTATTTTGCTGAAGTGCGCACTGTTATAATTTTCGTCTTACTGTTGGAAAATAGTATTGTTAACATCTAATTTGAATTTATTCTATAGTTGCGCGGTTGTCTTGCTGAGCACGTACGTTGGGGAGATGCGTTCGCGGTTGTTTATTCTGTCTGCGAGCGACGCTCGTTCTTGGCTGCAGCGGAATTGCTGTCGTTACTGGAGAGGACTAGGCTACCGGGATGCGCAGCCATCACCCTCTTGGGGAACAAAAGAGACCTCGAGCACGCAAGGTATGTAGCAATAGAAATACGGACATAATTATTATTCGCTCCGTAGCCGCGCTGTTCGTACGCTGGTTTCAAGGTATCGCCATCTCTGGTGTCCCAGGTTCGATTCCTAGTCAGCAATGTAGACAATGAAATTTTTAAAATTGTATCGGGTTTGGGTGTTGTTGTACCTTCGTTTTCTAAGATACTGCATAATGTGAAGGCTTTAACTCATGTTGGAATTCGTTTTATTCTAATTACAATCAAAAGTTTAGTTAAATCAGTATAATCATTTGCATGTCTTAAGAACGAAAGTATTATGAATGTCTAGTCAGTTTTTTAGTTTAAATCTTTTTGTTTAGGGAGGTCCATGCAGAAGAGGGTCAGGAGCTATCATTGAGGTTTGGGTGCCAGTTCTACGAGGTGTCGGCGGCGGAGTCGTGCGCTGGCGCCGCGCTCGCTTTCCACGCGCTACTGCGGGAAGCACGAGCACTCGCACTGCTGCTGCCCGCGCCGAGACGCAAGCTGGCTGCTTACTCTGTTTCCAAGGTAATATTATGAAATCTGAATGAAATGGAAACACACATGTTATAGTTAGAGATATCATAGCGTTTAAATTATCTTTGAGAGATACGGTATTGACGACAGCTTTGCTTTTATTTTTGTTCGACTTTTATGACTTATGTCACCTTTATTATTTTTACTGTATATCATGTCTAGTGGTTTAAAATGTAGTTTTTCTAAACTTTAATTCAATTGCTGTCGATAAAATGCGGTATAATACTTGAAAATTTACTCTAATTCTTTCCAAATTTTTATATTTTAGATAACAAGTAGATTGATAAAGCATACATGTGTTGTCTACCAAGCTAAATCAGGGGCAATAACTTAACATTTTTTTTTATTACTTCCTTTATTATCTTTTTCTGATTCTTATCGATAACTTAACTTTTACTTTTGATTTACATCGATTATTGGGGTTACCAGGAGTAAACAGTTGCATAGGTCATAATAATACATTCTCATCTCTTATTCTTAGTTAATTAATATTCTCTATTCAATAGTTTGAGGTTGACTTTTGATAAGTATGATACATACATAGGTAACCAAGCAGAAACTGTGACCTTTGCACTTGTGTAACACTCTAGGCAACCATACATATTATTTTATTAATCTACATGATGTATCTTACATTTTAACTTTATCATAATCAGATAACACATGGATATAAATTTTCCTATTAATTATCTTAAACCATTACCATTATATAACCATGAGCAAATTTAAAATTAGTTCATTAGTTTAATTAAAGTAAAACATTGGGAATTTTCAAATTTAGAACATTTATTGAGCTTTAATCGTCGTTAAATCGTTTATAAAATCGAATGAATATTTGAAAACTCGGTGTAAATGTTATATAAGCAGTTAACCTGAAACAGTAAAGTATTTTGTGATCTTATCTCGGGTTATTAACATGCAATTTTAAGACTTAACTTTATCCTTAACCAATGAAAGCTTTATCATTAGTGAAATATTTTAATACATTTTTTCTTTTACAGGTCATCGGCACAATATTCGGGAAAAACAGCAAGAGCGTGCGAAAGAAAAGACCGTCACTGAGCATTTAAATATAGTTAATTTATGTTTATATCCTTAAGACTGTTATTTTTAAAAGTTTATGTTCTTGTGAGTTGTAAGATTTAAACTTCCAGATATTTACTCGAATTATACAGATTGTGCAGATGGTACACACATTCTCATTAATTTTGTGCAACGTGCTTTGTAAATAAAACTGATTGTAAATAATATGTAATAAAAAAGTTAAATGCTTAGATACACCTCGCATTAGACTAAAGCTACAATTAAACATTTAAGCAAATAAGTTGTAAATATTTTGTAAGGTAGATTTTTTGCTAAAAAATCAAGCAATAAAAATTATACATAAAATAACTAATATTTTTATTTTTATGATAACCCCCATTGCTATAGTAAATACGAGTAACTAGTATTCTCATTGAGAAAAGGAGAAAAGAATGTATTTGTTCCGTTCTTGAGTTTCCTTGACTCTCCCTACATTTGATGTAAAACCAAAATATCATCACATTTACAGAATAACAGTATAATTAAACGAGATACGTTTACTATTCAAAAGACAGGTTATAGATCTTTCAAAGTGGACAGTAACAAGGTGCAATATAATGTTATAGCCGCTGAAGCATTACCCATACTTACACCATAAAAGGCTAACACCATAAAGTTAATACTCAATTATCCCGATGTGTTTAAGGCACTACATATACCACAGCATTGTCAAACACTTTCCTAGATCGTTGCTCACTGATAGCGTCACATTTACCGGTGGTGCACTCCAGCACGTCACACGTGACACTTCAGAGCTTTAATGAGTTGCTGTTTTCACTGTACAAATGTCACGACAACCGCGCGGAACAAGCCCTCTCCTTGTCGTTGTAATATTGATCGAGTACGGTGGACAACAGCGGAGAGATCTCGAACTTGCACGTTATACTCCCGACGTGCGATTTGTTGATAACGTCGAACAGATAGCGAGATTGGACTAGCGTGACGTTAAATGATCACTAATGTGAAAGCTAACCGACAAGCGCAGATTTGAAGTCTAAGACGAACATAAAAATCTGCCAGACTACTCCAACTGAGTCCGAAGATGTTAATATGATCATTGAGATGTTTCACTGTCGATAAAAATGACGCAAGTTCAAGAGCGCTCGCTGTTATTAAATAAAATCTTTTTACCACAGTGCCATGTCGGAAAGAAATGTAACTTTTACTGGCATTTAGACTACAATCTATGCAATATGTAATCGGTTAGCACGGTAGTTGCATAATAAATGTTCAATTCGTTGTCCCGCTTATATTAAATTTAGTACAGGTGTACAGAGCGATGCAATGGGAAGATACGAGCAATAAATCGAATCGGTCGATCGCATTAGTGGCGCCAACGTTCCGCTCGGAGCGATGCGAAGCGGAGAGGAGCGATAGTTATCGGAATCTAGATATAAGCCGGGATCTATGATACAGACCATCGTGGCCGCAACAGGCGTAGCCATGATTAATCGAACTATGTTGAGTTGGGCTTCATCTGATTCAAATTGCTTTTAGATCATTGCGTTATCCATAGTGAATACAAATTTGATTTCGTTTATTCATTCTACGATTCATTGATTCGAATATCAAGACATCGGCTTGTAAGTCTAAAAGAACTGAGAAGAAACAGCAAGGGCTGTTTTTATAACTCTTTTTAACCAACTTGAAAATCGAAAAGGAGGAGGAATAAGTTCTACAGCGATGTATGTTTTTCTCTATTTTGTTTCATACAGAGACATCACCGAAAAAATATTGTAAGAAAACGAAGTTACCTTCTATTACTAAAGATTACAAAATTATGGTACCTACATACTTTCTACAAATTTTTTTGCATGAAATTCTATAATATGCTGTTAAATAGTTTTATCATACAGTACAAGCAATGAGAGTATTTCATACCTATATAAAGAATAATATTATGTCTAAAAGAAAATTTCATCTTCCCTTATATAGTGCTAGTCTGAAGCTACTAGTATGAGATTCATATTGCCACAAACTCTTTTTAAGAAAGTACAACATTTCGTCACATTAATTAATGCATGTATGGTACATAGCTCATTATGAAACATATTAAATACTGTTTATTATGAAATTACTATTGAAGTCGATATGAAAGCGTTGGTTGCTGATGTAAAACTTAGCTTTCAAAGAAAAAGTAACTGCTATGTCATCACTTTATTCAAAACGGTGAATCAAAAACTATTGGTTTCTAGTTCGAGGGAATTCTACGCAGATAATTTTTTTTTTGCTTAATAAGAATAAGAAAGTTTTACCATATTATATATTATGTTCTGATACCACTTGTGGAGCTTTTTAAATGAATCCATAGTGGTTGTGTCACTAATTCATTGAAAGCGGGGGTCAAGAACAGGCGACCTACGTCGTTTTGTTATTTAGCGTCAATTATAGAATTTAATGAATCAGCAATAGATGATTGGTGACGGCAGGTGAAAGCGCAGATTTAATCAGTAAGGATATGAAGATATTCGCGTGGTATTCTAATTACTTCACTTACAGCCAACTGAGTCCATCAATATCGATTTCTCAAGCGTGGATGTTGTGTGTGTCTAAGATAGTGATTTATTTTATTTAAAAGTAAATTGCAATGTTTTTTTTATCAACTTTCATTTTATTAATTGATCTATTAGTATTTGTATTAAATTTTAGGGCTCAGTACCCATTTGGCAAAAACGGGACTAAGACTTCGCTGTTTGTCTATCTGTCACAACTATACAGTTAAACATTTCACAGATGATATATTTTGTTATAACAAAAAAAAAAAATACTAAAAGCAGAATAAAATAAATATTAAAGAGGGATTGTTAGCATTTACCTTGTTTTTATAGGTGCTTACAAAAGCGCCAAATATTGGGAACTCTATAAATATAAGGTATAATTGACTATGTTTTTGATCATCACGATAAAAAAATAACTTTTGATTAATATGAAGAAAGCAATGAGTTTATAAACGTTAATTGGCAGAAAGTTTCCAATAGTTTGGTGATAAATAATTACATCAACATTAGTAACCTGCACACAAGCAGTGGGAACATTGGTCCCCACTCCTAGGGCGCAGGCAGATGTGGATTTTCAAACCTGGTCGCTCTACTTCGGGTATTCATCATCATCAACCCTTTTACGTCCCCACTGCAGGGGCTCAGGCGTTCCTTATGGATGGTTAAGGAGGATGGGCCATGACCCTCCACGCTGGCCCAATGCGGATTGGAGGTATTAACGACTGCAAATGCAGCCGGGACCAACGGCTTAACGTGCCTTCCGAAGCACGTTTTGGTTCTCATAATTTAGGTACTGTATGTTAACTTTTTGACAACGTTTATTGAAATGGATTAAAAAATTTTGTTGTGTTTATGTCACGTTTATGTTGCGATGAAAAAATATAATTCCTTATATATTTTGGTATATATCGGTGTAGAATATACATGTCCACAATTGGATTACATTTCATCCGACACAATAAACATGCGAGTAAAATAGTCGTATGTTATTTCATGCTTTAGAATTAATATAAAATAACAGCTGTGTTATTGCCGTTTTTATTTCGACTTATGTATATATGTATTAATTTAAGAGCTTTTCTTTCATAATTAGCGATGATAAAATTTACTATTACCGGTATGTCATTATTGTTTTCGGTATACAATATTTAATGCTATTATCGGCCTACCCTTATATATGGTTGCATTAGACTGGGCCAAAGGCGGCATATATTCTTAATACAAAATGCTTAAAAAATCCACACACATCCACAATTATACTTCAAATATAATAATTAGAACTAATTCTCATCTTTGTCAAAAGTTTCAATATTTGAAATAATATTTCTTTCGGCTGTTTGGGTGGATGCCTGAACATTGACGAGAATACGCTCTGTAGTAGCGAAAAGTAACAAGTGCTCGAAAGATTCGTCAGTCCTGTTAGGTCCAGAGCAGGCGTCCGGATTGCGAAAGGTCGTGGGTTCGAATCCCATCTCAGGGTGCCAGGGACCAAGTGGATTTTTTAAACATTTTTTATTAACAATATTTCTCAGTATAGCATTGTGAATGCAAAATTGATCAAATACAGCACATATATTGATTTGATGGATTGATAAGTATTATTGATGCTAATTTAGTTACACTGTAGAACATTTTATGTTATAATGAATCAGCTAGATCACTGTACTATAATATGGGTAAAAATTTATGGAGGACATTCTACGTTAATAATCACTATCGTATTTATTGATAATATCATTAAAGTTCTTTATTGAATTACTACAAAGCTTTAATTTAACAACTTCGGATAACAATCTCACGTTTTAATGACAAAAGAAATGGGATTTAAAAATTACGAAATGAAGAGCCCCTTTGATTTATTTACCTTATCGAAGCGTTAGATGAACTTGACTGATTACCAATAAAAAAAAAAGGTTTCAATCGTATCGATGCAACATCATAGTGACAGACGAGGGCACGAGACACGATGGAATCTATCCCGATGTCGGAGATAAACTATCGCACACTTTCATCGGCGGTTACGAATTAAACGATGACCAGTTTTATCTATAATTGCTCTCATTGCTTCACCACGGTATCTTCGGGCGAATTCACATTGGTATTTAAATGAATAACAATAAATTACTTCCTGTTTTTATAGTGTGCACCATTAAATATAAAATCAACATTTCATTTTGGCTAAGATTTTGTACTTTATTTATTGATAAATGAAAGAAAAAGAAGGATTATTGGAAAACATACGAGTGGTTTATATGATCACTAATACTATAAGCTATTATAAAGTTATTTAGAAATCACAGGTAGGAGAGTAATGGTAGAAAAAAAAGTGTTTTGGTATTAGTGTATCGATACGAACTGTCAACGCACTAAAATGCTTAAAATAAAATTAAGATTGTCTCAAAACTGTAGTACGAGTTAGCATTTACACTAGTGTGTATTCGGATAATGTATTTGTTATCCGAATACACACTGGTGTAAATGCTAACTCGGATTTATAAATGATTGCAGAGAAACGAGT